CTTTAATATGTTGTGCGTTTTAATAGACCGGTGACGACCGCACAGAGTAGCATTATAACAGAACTTTCAAATAAAACAGCGCTGCTTTTTTCCCCCACATAAGCACGACCGGAAGGAGCGGAAGCGGTCGACTGTGGCATAATAAAAGCTCCGCTGCTTTCGAGCCGTGTGTCACGCTCGTTCAGCGGCCTCGTTTCGCTTCGACGGCTTTCAGCCTCACCCTGCTTCATGCTACTATGTTAATAAATCATTAGCTCATCCATGAGCATGATTTCTGCCCGAGTCCCGTCGGATTGCATCGGCTGTGGGGATGAAGACGACAACTCCCATGATTCCACACTCAGTCACGGCATCATCAAGCTACGCCTTTGCCTCTTTGTTTATTTTGAATACGCGCCCTCTAGCGGCGAAAATTACATATTGTGCCTTTAATTCGTTATTTATGCTTGTAAAAGTCTCGATCTGAAAACATTCATATGCATCCAGTTTAAAAAAAAAATTAAAATTGACAAATTTACTTCAGAATAATGTCATTTAAATTATCTAATCCATCTTCATTATATGTCTTTAAATCACCATCCATTGTTTTGTGCATTGCTTTATATTCTTACAAATTTAGGCCCAGTGACAGGTACATCATTACCATGTTGACGAAGCACAGAACCTTTAACCACCACGAAAACCCCTCAGTTACACTTTTACCTCCTATTGCTTTTTAAAACGCAGTCATGGGACTACATGCTGGTAGGATTAACCAAGAAACAATATTTGAAGGATGTTACAAAAGAGACATGCTGTTAAGAATGCAATAAATCAGTTAAATAAGACAGATTTTGTTTATACAAGCTGTTTGAGTTGCAGAAAGGTCAATTATCACTGACATAAATCTACACAAAAATGCATAAGTCAGTCAAAATTATCTTACTTGCTAGATTATTGTCTGTTTATATTTGCATAAAGAAGGAACGTCATACAAAACATGGGAGCCACTGTGTTATGTGAACGCGTTCAAACAAAATGTGTTTAATCATTTAGATAACCAATAGAGATTCATGAGGGCAAGCACTGACCTCGATAGTTTTTGGCAAGAGTAGGGTGTTGGGGAAGTTGTGTTTGTAGATTTCATTGGCTGTTGTGTTGACATACACAGCAGCAACAACTTCAGCAGGAACTGAGCTCTCTGAAAGAAGCACACACATTTGACCTAATTCAACTTTTGATGAATTAGCTAACGTTAGTCCTCACAACACAACTCTAAAGAAACAAAATAACTTTTTTCAGTCTGTTAATGTCATATTTTATTTATGAAATAAACACATTGCAAATGTACAGTAAGGGAACAGTGACACCTGTGGGAATCATTCAACAGACAACAGAATCATACAATTGAACACCCACCAGCGTGTCAATAATTTTATAGACACAGAGCCTCTGCAACTGATCCTGAGTAAGGCATGTGTGTCAATAGTCGCTACAGATTTAACCTTTAAAGTATAATACATCCCTCCTATTCCGCTGTATAACTCCAGAACACAGAGTCGCTCTGTGCTCTCCATTTTTCACTGCTGAATGATGTTTGATATTTTGACACTGACAGCGTCTCAACTCAAGCATGCCACACGTGTGCGATCCCGATTACATGGCCCTCTAGACCAGGGCTGTCCAAACTCGGTCCCGGAGGGCCGGTGTCCTGCAGAGAAAATTGTGTGTGTGTATATATATATGTATGTATATGTGTATATATATGTGTGTGTATATATATATATATATATATATATATATATACGGATCAATTCATATTCAATATATATTCAATTCAATATATATTCAACAAATCATATTATTGTTTTTGTGTCACGATCGGAAGATTTTTTTCAGATAAGCAAGAAAAGAATATTTAAAGAATTTTTTGACATCATTTTATGTTTAATGCGTGTAACGAGTAACGAATCGAGTTCTCTTTCGTTTCTTCTTCTTGTGGTTTAAAATCGCTTGAACGTGTAAATCGGCAAATTAATCTGCGAATCAAGTGCGCGCCGAACTGTGGGGCCTGGTCCGTATAGCTACCACAGATCAACTGCGATCCCTTTAACCCCTAATAAATATAATCCTATGACAGATCAGAACAATCATTCATTTACTAATTGAACATTTAATTCAGGCTACATGAAATCTTCAAATTGCTATTCCATAGCAATCGCATACAACAAACGAAAATACAGATTAGAACAATCATTAACGTGCAATAAATAACAGAGTGTCATACACATTTTTCCCAGAACGTTCTTGCGACCCAACTCTTCCATGGCCCGGTACTGGGTTGCGACCCGGTGGTTGGGGACCTCTGGCCTAAACTACCAAAAGTCGACATTTTATTTGTTTGTATGTTTTCTTATCAATTAGAAAAGATGTTGCACCTTTTCTAATTGACCTGGCTTTTTGAATTTTGGTTGCACCTCCTCTTTTGTTGGCTGAACACATCTTTTCAGTATTTTTTGTATGTTTTCTTAATTGTCAGAAGTTTTTACTTAGCTTAATATTAATATATTAATAATTTATTTTTTTAATAAAAATATATAGCTTATGTGTGTGATATAATTTGATTAGGCCTATATTAATGTACATTCGCAGAAGTAGGCTAATTATTAAAAAAAAAAAATTATATTTACTTTTTATATTATTTTTAGGCTACTGTATTTTATTTATTTTTATATATACATAATTAAAGGGGTAACCAGCATTTGTTACCTTAAAGAGCTGTTTACCTGATCTAAAAATTAGTTTTGTTGGTATAACGTATAATTAGATTGATTCAGCAATATTGCTGAATATAATATTTATTTATTTATTTTGAATATTTTGGAATTAATAATAAAAATAGGCTATTTTAACTTGAATAAAACCAATAAATTTCGATGTATATCTTTTAAAATATATATATAATATTTAAAACAACTTTATAATAAATTAGCTAATAATTTTTGTATTAAATGGATAAACGAATAAATGGATAAAAAAATAAGCCGAATTTTCTTGTGTTTGCCATTGACAAACTGTCATCCTGTTAGTATTGTATTATATAATTTAAATATAGGCTATTACATACATAATATTTAAAACTAACTTCTAAAAAAAAAAATACGTTAATTAAACGGATAAACGAATGAATGGATAAACAAATAAATACACTTTCCTGTTGTTGCCACAGTCAAACGCTTTCATTGATAGCCTAGTTATGGAGGGGCACGTCCTGCTCCTCCGGCCCGACGGCGCTTCTACGTCACTAAATCTCCCTGCACCGTTATGTTGTTAGCATAGGGAGTGGACTATAAATGCAAGCCGAATCTCTGCAGTGGTCTCAGTTGGTCTGGACAGGGTGCGGTTCGTGAAAGTAGACGCTGACATCAACAATAACCCAGAACTAAAGGATTACAATGGCCAACCGGACAAGCACATCTTCTTATAAAAGGATGTTCGGTGGGGAGCGACCAGCGATGGTTCGGTCCACTTACTCCAGCCGGCAGTTCAGCAGCCCGGGGCGCACAACCTCGCGCGTGTCCTACAGCAGCGCGTCCTCCGCGTCTCCATCCATCTACATGAGCAAGGGCGCGAGGGTACGGAGCAGCGCGCCCCTGCCCAGACTCGCCACCGATACGCTGGATTTCGGGCTCGCCGAAGCCATCAACACCGAGTTTAAAGCCAACCGAACCAATGAGAAAGCGGAGATGCAGCATCTCAACGACAGGTTTGCCAGTTTCATAGAGAAAGTGAGATTTCTGGAGCAGCAGAATAAGATCTTGAACGCGGAGCTGGAGCAGATGAGGGGCAAAGGCTCGTCCCGGGTCGGTGATCTGTACGAGGATGAGATGAGAGAACTGAGGCGACTAGTGGACCAGCTCACCAACGAGAAGGCCACAGTGGAGGTGGACCGGGACAATCTGGGAGAGGACATCGAGCGCCTCAGACAGAAGTATGTGCAAACATTGTCCAAGAGACTGTGCAAACAAAACCGGTTATAAGTGTAAAAATAATATTAACTATCTGCCAGGTGCACGTGCATAAGTTTATTAAAAAATAATATTTTTTTGCAAACAATTGGTTTAAAAATCATATTATTGTCATTTCGTATTTCATAGCACCAACACAGAACTAACTAATAGGCATAGGCTACATTCATAAATGTATTTTAACGGTAGGCCTACATTTATATAAAACAATAACAAAACAATGTGTTTTATTTACAAGTTGAAGATTTTGAGTGTCTATTGTTGTTTAAAATCCTTTATACACACACACAATAAATACCAGGTACACACACACACACACACACACACACACACATATATGTGAAAAAAAAATGAAAAGTTAAAATGCCCTGCCATTACATTACGAAGCTGGTTCTACCTCTTCTGATTCTTAAAATGATTTTTCTTTTTTAATTAGTGTAACCTAAGATAGGCTGATTTAGTCATATTTTTGACCTACATAAAACCAGTTGATTTAGATGTTACCCCATTTTATGATTTATTAATTTTTTTGGTAGTGTAATATGGTGTTGAATTACTCTCAGGACAAAGTTTCTCTTAACCAGGTCAAATAAAACCAAAATATGAACTGTATATTTTGTAGGCTAATGTGAAAAATGTTCATCAATGCATTTTAATGATGCATGTATACAACAGAGACTCTTTTTATAATCCTATGAAATATTTTAAATAAAATATTTTGTAAAGAAACCATTTTTCCTGACCTTTTAAATGACAAAAAGCTGATTCAGTCATATACAATTATACTTTTTTGTTTTTACTCTGTAAGATAATTATAGTTGAATTTCTTTTAGGTCAAAACTCTTCTTATGGGGATTTCTCTTTACCAGGTTAAAAACAACCCATTATTTGTTTAATAAGCAAAAGAGAATAAATACATTTTATTCAGTTTAATGTCAAAGGCTTTCTATGATGTACTTATTGTCCTGGTGAGATGTGGGTTTGGTTGTGTTATACAGGGTGTGGCTCTGCTTAAATATTCATATCATTTTCAGACTTCAAGAAGAGATGCTTCAGAGGGAGGATGCGGAGAACAGCCTTCGGAGCTTCAGACAGGTACATCGTCACGTGTTAAGAGAATCATTTTTATATGTATTCTTGGACCTGCTGTTTGACCGAGTGCTACCAAAGCCACAATTTCAATATGATCAGTTAGCGTTCCAGTCAGTGTTTGCAAGACACAACTGATTGTCTCCTCACAATAAGAAAGAAGGTCAGAGCAGGCCTGGTAAAGCTGCCATCTTGTCCGGCATCAGATTTAGACACACAACTGAAAAGAGAGCTTTGTCTGAGAACAGGCTGGGCGTTCATGACAAAGCAAACTGTTGTATGAGTGGGAGGGGTCAGTGTTAACCAGGAGACATCGGTGACTTACGGCTGCAGAGAAGAGGATGTGTGTGTGTGTGTGTGTGTGTTTTAAAGGGTGTCTGCCACCACCAGCTGCAGCACTACAACCAGTTAGCAGCAGGCAAGCTATTGTTATTTAATTCAGTCAGGAATGGCTTAAAATAATTTACATAAACTACCATTCAAAAGTTTGGGGTCAATACAATTATTATAAAAGAAAATTAATGCTTTAGTTAATACAACTGCACGGTTGCATTAAATTGATCAAAAGTGACAGTAAAAACATTTATAATGGTACAAAAGATTTCTATTTCAAATAAATGTGGTTCTATCCATCAATAATTTTTTTCAGGATGTATCGTGGTTTGCACAAACATATTAAGCAACACAACTGTTTTCAACATTGATAATAACAAGAAATGTTACCTGAGCAGCAAATCAGCATATTAGAATGATTTCTGAAGGATCATGTGACACCAAAACTGGAGTAATGATGCTGAAAATTCAGCTTTGCATCACATGAATAAATTACATTTTAAAATATGTGACCCTGGACCACAAAACCAGTCTTAAGTGTTTATACATTTTGATTTAAATGAGCTGAATCAATAAGCTGTCCATAGATGTATGGTTTGTTAGGATAGGACAATATTTGGCCAAGATACAACTATTTGAAAATCTGGAATCTGAGGGTGCAAAAAAGAATCTAAATATTGAGAAAATCGCCTTTAAATTTGTCCAAATGAAGTTCTTAGCAATGCATATTACTAATCAAAAATTAGGTTTTGATATATTTACAGTAGGAA